TAGTTGGGGTCTTTGTTAAGTCCAGTGTGGAGAGTGTCGAATTTTAGCATGAATGCCAGTTCAGAGGATTCCCTTTCAAGTGCAGATTTGAATGTCTTCTGAAGTAGGATGCAGGTTAGCAGGTCATTCAGACAGTGTCCTTTCTGGTTGAAATGACAAGCAACTGTTTTTTCTTTGTGATCCTGTCTAATGTCTGTTTTGTGGGCATTGATTCTTTGGCGAAGTGTCTGAGACGTTTGTCCAATGTACGTAGCAGACGGACACTTTCGGCACATGATAGCATAGATTATATTTCTGGAGGCGCAGGAATATGTATTCTTGATCTTATAACTCACTTGGTTAGGCCCAATAATGGTGTCAGCAGAGTGAATATGTGGACAAAGCTGGCAGCGGGGTTTGTTGCAAGGGAAAGTACCAGGGTTGGTATTAGTGTGGTATGTCCTGTGGTTGTTGGTAAGAATCATCTTGAGGTTAGGTGGTTGTCTATAGGAGACTGTGGGTCTGACGGTCTTTTCCGAAAATGCTTTTAACGGAAAACTTTTCCGTTAAAAGCATTTCCAGAAAATCATGCCAGTCTAGACACAGCCCTATTGTAATGTGCTGATTTTTAGTTGGATAGGGTTGAAAATTTTTTCCCTTGGGCTGGCTGCATTATTAGAGTACTAATCTAAAGGGCCTGACCAGTTATTATTTGTATAATGAGGGAAAAAATTGTATCAGGTTAGTCTTGTATCATAGGAAGGTAGTATTTGCCATACTGACCAGATACCTGGACAATGAGCTGTAGTTTCTTGCATCTGGATTCATCAGAGGCAGATGAAAATTCCTCTTATATAGCCTTGGAAATATTGAAGTTTAGGATGAAGGTTCATAAAGCTTGCTTGTGTAAATCAGTATACCTCCACTGATTGGACTCAAACTAATGTTCTGCCATTATATGTCTTCAGGCATTTAGTGTGTATGGTTGTCAGAGAGGACAGAATCTAGCTGATTTCCTTTGCTGGCAAAGGAGAATTATAGTATAAGTTTCAAGATTCTGTCCATTCCTATATGCTGCTTTATATCTAATCTTTAACCTAGCATCTTGCTACCTATTAAAAATACATTTTTACTCAAGCTGCATTTATTGACAGTGTTGATCCTAGTGCCATCTAAGAGACCTGATATTAAAATATGTTGACTATCCAAGCCTTGTACATTCCAACAGGTAAACTTTTTTTTAAAGTCATGTCCTTTTTAATGAAACCTGATATGTAAAATTTTTGCCCTACCCAGTCTAAACCTAATTTATTGTTCTCGCATCCTTTTTCTGTGTCTGTTGCAGCAAAACAGTTTCCATTTTTTTCTTTAGTGAAATGAGTATTTCTGTTTTGATTGGATTGCAGACAGAATGTTAGGAATCATTAAAAAAGGGATAGAGACTATCTTATTGCTTCTATATAAATCCATGGTACTCCCACATCTTGAATACTGTGTACAGATGTGGTCACCTCGTCTCGAAAAAGACATTGGAAAAGGTTCAGAAAAGGGAAACAAAAATGATTAGGGGTTTAGAACAGGTATCATATGAAGAGAGAGTAAAAAGATTGACACTTTTCAGTTTAGAAAAGAGGGAACTAAGGAGAGGGGAACATGATAGAGGTCTATACAATTATGACAGGTATGGAGAAAGTGAATAAGGCAAAGTTACTTGTTCCCATAACATAAGAACTAGGAGTCACCAAATGAAATTAATAGGTAGCAAGTTTAAATCAAACAAAAGGAAGTTTTTCTTCACTCAGCGCATAATCAACCTGTGGAACTTGTGCTAGAGGATGTTGTGAAGATTAAGACTGCAACAGAGTTACAAAAAAAAAAGTAGGTAAATTCATGGAGGTTATGTCCGTCAATGGCTATTAGCCAGGGAGGGTAGAAATGGTGTGCCTAGTCTCTGTTTGTCAGAGGCTGAACA